CGGCGCTTTCCGTTCCTCTTCTCCTCGCTAGCTGCCGCCGGTGGAGCTTCCCCGAAGCCCCGTGCTGACCGAACCTGACACAGGCAGCCAGGGCCTGAGGGTAGAGGCCGCTGCTGGTCAAGCGCTGCGCTCCCTGCAGGCTATCTAGGAAGAAGAATTCCAGAAATGTGGCAGAGCAGCGGATCTCCGGCAAGGAGTGCAGGTGGGAGAGAAACTGTTCAAATGCTCGGCTGCGCTTGGCGATGGTCGCAGGTGTGAAGTTGTGCCACAGCTGTTTCCGAGGAAAAGAGACCCCTGCCATGTCTCTGCTGAAGTGGCGACGCAGGCGTCGATTCAGCCGCTCAAAGTCAGAGTAGCAGCGGGCGACGGCGGCAGGCGCTTTGTCAAACTGCCCCGCCTGGATCAAGTAGATGGTGTAGAGCTGGGTGCCAAAGAACAAGCAGGTGAAGGGAAGCCCAGCCCAGCCTGACCCCCCCACCACAGCAAAGCCTGTTGGCCCTCCCCAGCCCTCCCCCTAGCAGGCTTGCAGAGGGTCCTCTCAGGTGGCAGAGACGGGGGCAGGTGAAGCGGCTGCTGCCCCTTGAAAAGAATTACCTGAGGCTCTTCTGAGCCCGCAGTGCCCAACGCAGCAGCACAAAGAAAGAGACAACAGTCAAGGCCAGCTGCCACCAGTTGCACACACCCCGCCATCCCTGCTGGGCAGCCCCCTTCTTCAGAGAAAAGAGAAGGCTGAGGGTACCCTATGGGGAACAGGGTGGGTGCCTCCTTCCTTCCCATGCTGTGGGCCGGAGCATCCGAGTCCTGCATCTTGCTCTGGGCTGCCCTTCCTGTGGGGGAAGCAGGCGGCCTTGTGCACCCCACTTCCTTGCAACCATGGCCGGAGTGTTCTTTTCCTGGGCCCCCCTTGTTTGCCCCCCTTTACTCACCACATACTTGGAGTTGCGCTCACTGATCACGCTGGCGCTGGTGACCTCGAAGAGGAGGCGCTGGGGCATGAGACTTCCCCGCGATTTCCGCCAGAGCTCCTGCAACTGGCGCGTGAGCATGTGGCTGCCTCGTTGCTCTGTCGAGGGGGAGCTGGGCCCTGCACCAGGAGGAGAAGAGCGCAAAGCGCTGAGGCTGCGGGTTTGGGCCTGGGAAGCCCCTGGGCTGGCAGCTGGGCAAGGGTGCCCTCTGACCCCGAGGGGAGGATAAGGGAGGAAGCAGTGCCCTCCCCACTTCGCATGTGAACTGCATTTCTGCTGGGGTTGAGATTTAGCCCAGGGAAGAGAAGCTGCTTGAATCTTCTAAATCCGGGAGTGGGGGAGGATTTTGCCTAAATTCAGCGTGCCTGATGTATGGCCCAACGTGTTGTCCAAACATACACACTGGTTATCTGAATTACCCTGGCTCAGTCAGCCATTGCGAAGTATTCATCAGCTTCACCCTCCCCCGTTTCAAGGCTGTACCTCCATGCTCTGCAGGATCTCCGGGCAGGTCCAGATCCGGGGGGCCCCCAGGCTTCTCTCTAGCTCCTCTGGCGCCCTCCTGGTAGTCCTCCTCCTCCTCCTCGTCATTGCTGGTAAAGCTGAGAGTCCCGCTCAGCCGGGTAGCCAGGCCCTCGGTGTCATCCTCCAGCTCGGAGCTCTCCGGACACTCCTCCGCCCCCGAGCAGCCCTCTGCCAGCCCCTCTTGATCCCCGTTCCCCGCCAGCGCGTGGCGCAACCGGTGCAGGATGCGGGAGGCCATCGGCCGCGGCGGGCCCTGGGGGAAAGGGGTGGTCCGAGGGCGCTGCTCTGGCTCCGGGCTGAAGGCTCCCAGAGGGGCTCTTCCTCAGACCCCCATCCCGCCCCCGCCGGCAACCGCGGCTCTGCTCCGAGGCTTCCCTTCCCGAGCAAAGGCCCCGAGCGGGGCCGGGCAGAGAGGGCAAGGCCGCCAACGACACGCTTGCCCGGACCAGGGAAACCGGCTCG